GGCAACATGTTTCTAGTTCTATTGCTCTGTCTTTTCCTCTGTACAGAGGAAAAGGGGAATATCTAGATGTTCGCGCACAGAGGTTCGCGCACAAGCATCATGTGACATAGATACGTGATCCTGCTCGTGCGCGATAGTTTGTATCCAGGCCGTGACGCTGCTCCTGCGTACAGACACTAAAAACATTTACTTATTACTTTTAAAACAATTTTATTTTACATTAGAAAAAAAGGTGCACTATAACTCTTTTTAGTTATATTAGATATAAAAAAATATGAAAGATATAAAAATAAAGCATTTTACAGTTTTTTTATAATAAGAACTACATAGAGCTATTATCTTACAGCTAAATAAATATAGATAGGTAGTGCAATAGACATAATAGTAACTAACAAGCTATGTTGCTCTAGCTATTAGTAAATAAAGAATAGTAAAAGAAAAAAAAAGCGTGTATATAATAAATTTATGCCTTAGAAGTAGTAGCATAGCAGAATGTTAGAACTATAGGCTCTTAGGTAAATCCTAGGGAGAGGAGAGGAGATGTTACAACTGCTAGTTAGGCTAGAGGAACATGCAGGTCTTTAACCCTACAGAGGAAGAATAGTCTAATGCTAGTAAGGGCACAGCCCGCAGAGGTCACGTCACGTGATGCTCTAGGACAGGTATAGCGTACACTAGGCATTAGAAGAGTAGTCGCAGGATTTAGCGAGTGGTCGCAGTGGTCGCAGGCTTAGCTCTACAACCACACTTGGAATGTTGCGACCACCGCGACCACCCTTAAGTATATAGTCTTAACCTCCTACAACTAGTGGACGGTTGTGGTTATTCTTCACTTTAGGACACTATCCTAGGTATAGCAATATACTTAATATCCTTTCTAACAAGAAGCGTGTAAAAACAAGAAGCGTGTAAAGACTATTTTCTATTTATAATAGTATAAACACATTAGTTATCTTACTTCTTTATTACTCTTACACTCTTACCCCTTCTTTGCAACGCAAGGATTGTGCAGAAGACTGTACACCCTCTAAACACTGTTGTAAGTTAAAGCAATAGGAAAACGTACCTTTCTAAACCCCCTCTCCTCTTCTACCCATCCTACGGAAGACTAGTTACCGGCGGAAGGCACCTAGCAATAGGAAAGCCGAGGTAAGATATCGTAACACTCTCCTCCTCTCTGCTGTACGAACGTATTCAACATCTCACCCGTACAGGCCTTAAAATCGCCCAATCGTACAGTTCTACGCCTCGTTGGAAGCGCTGATTGGATTTGTGCTATAGTACTGGCATTCACGGCATATGCGGGAACCAACCAATATTGCATTCACCCTTTATGTTGGAGCCATTCTGAGGCATGCGTGTTCCCCCGTGGAATATTGGGAACATGATGAACGCTGGGTCGTTCTTACCACGTCAAATCTTAGCATGGGACCGGAAGGGGAAAGGCGGATACAACGCAGCCTAACTTACTGCACAGATGGCTGATTGAAGTTACTGGTCACATAGCTACACTTCTTGTCATCCTTAGGCCCGAAATTGGACACGTAGCAAGATGCACCAATCGGAACGGTGGATATCGGGGCGCCGTTCAGAGTTTTGTTGAAAGCGTTCCGTGCCAATCTAGAGGGCCAGTCTTCATCGCCCGGAAAGGTCTTACAAGCTTTTCTTTGCCGCTGTTCGTGTGCAATTTGGGGGTTATCGTCGAAGGAGAAGAGCCGAGAGTACGGCGCTGTTATTTCATCCTGCGTAATCGCGTCGAGAACGGCAGCAGTGAGTTGTATCGTCTCGCCTTTGAAGAGTGTTTCTGAGTTTGGTGACCTAGGTAATACCGGAGATCCTTGTGAAGGCATCAGAAGACAGCATAATACGACCCCGAACAAGGCCTGCGTAGGACGCAGCGTCATCTTGTAAAGCAACAGTACCTTCATGGCAAAATATTTCAGCACAGGCTTCTTATACGGTGTCATCTTTTCAATTTCTAAGCCGTGTAAATTTGAATTAGTTTAGCGTGTATTGTCGGTAGTTGAGTTTGCTTTCAGGGCGTAATGGGGCGAACGTAGATCGTGAGAGAACATGGATTTTGTCCAAATTCATTGACGGACCCGAAATTCGATACCCTAGTTAAAGGGTGAGATTTTGACTTACAATGCTAATGTTTAGCCGCCTCTACTGCTCTCGCGTTACATTTCGACATCACGTCCTATCATACCATTGTTCTGAAAGTTCACTATCAAGAGTAGCTAGAAAACCCCGCTAGAATAAATGTAGCGAAGGTGAAACGTATGCATCCCAACGATCTTAGGGTTCCTGCTGTGGTAAAGAAGAATTCTGGGTTTCTAAGAACAACGAAAAGACATGGAACCTAGATCTGGAAGCCAAGGGATCGTATGGCACGGCTTGCTAATTGCGTGGTACTGAGGAAGTTTTGGCTTTATTACTGTAGTCTTTCAGGGGGTATGAGTTATGAAAGAAGTGGTGTATTGTAGACTGAGGGTCCGAGGAGCTATGTGATTGATGATTTATGAGACCCCAAGCCCGAGGTTGATTGGGTAGCCCGTCGTGCAGCCCTCCAGCTTAACAATGACTAAGCGAGGATCCGGGATTCTTGTGCATATCGTGTCGATTAAATTAGAAAGCATAAAGGGAACCAATGTCGATGCATGATACTTATCGTTGCGTAAGAGTTCGCAAAGCATGAAGCTATTAATCGAACGAGGCTACAAATGTGGCTGCCCTATTAATAAGTGGGATGTAGCGTTTACTATCTGAGCACTACTTTGTTAAAGTTTTAATGGGAATTCCAGAAGAATGAAGTCAATTCTTAGAACTAATGCCCACTATTCGGATAGCGTTGTGAGGTCGGCGTCCTCATGTTGAAGATTAGGCCAGGCAAGTTTAGCCTAACCAATAAAACCTCACTCTCGTCCAACACAGAAATATGCTATCCTATCACCATCTAAGATGTCAAGCCCCGAGCGTACTTGTGTCACAGCATGAGGACGGAATTTGCGCTCTTCTAGTTACCGTCCTTGTTGCCTCTATAGCGATAAGCGAAGACTCTCCAAGACCCCAGTTGGTACTTAACATAGGTAGCGGGCGTCCTAAACCCCTGTGGAACGAATTTGTACATCTAGTTAGGTAGTCGTACATCTCGTTGTACATCTCGTTGTACACCCATTCAGTGCACGACTCTTATGTGTCGCTCGGATATTTCCGCGAGATGCACTTAACATGATTTGCGATCCTGGTGCCACACTAGGTTGTGTGTGATTCCTCTGATTCGCTGCTGCTTACCAATCTTGCAGCTTGCGCTGCGGGATTTGCAATCCGCCCCGAATTCGGGTGCAAGAAAGCGCGAAAGCTCGTACTAACAACTCCGAATCCACCGAGATGTGTATTTCGGTTTAGATAAAGTACGAAGGTTCGAAAGGATGAGTGGTGGATTATATACCGGAACCTGCCCCACGCTCACTAGTCTCTGGAGCCACCCCCGACGACCTGTAACATCTTATTCCTTTCTCAAATCCATCTACTTCACCCGTTTCTACTAGTTCACCCGTTTCCCACTAGGACCGCCATGGCCAACCTCGCCGCTGTCATCACAGCCGCCAAGACACCCATCAAGGTCCAAGAAGTCGAGATTGGCAAGCCGGGCCCACATGAACTTCTCGTCAAGAACGAAGTAATTGCGTTCAATCCGGTGGAGTTTAAAATTGCCAGGCTCGCTATTTTCCCAATCCAATACCCTGCTATCCTGGGCTCCTCCTTCGGCGGAACGGTCGAGGCTGTTGGATCCCAAGTTTCAAGCTTTAGGGTTGGGGACAAAGTCGCGGCGTCGAAGAACTTTAGCGCCGTCGGTACTCAATATGGTGCATATCAGAGATACACAGTAGTTGGGGAGGACACTACGAGCAAAGTACCGGAGGGTATCGACGTTGCGATTCCAACTAGCTTGCTTGGAAATTTGCCTACGATTGTCGCTCTATTCACCGGACGCGCTGGATTGGATAAGCCCAGTTTCGATGGACCCGTCTCCGCGAAGGACAAGAAGGTTTTGGTCTACGGTGGCTCGTCTAGCTTTGGGAGTCTTTCAGTGCAATACGTCAAGCAAGCAGGGTATACTGTCGTTACTACGTCCTCGCCGCCCCACTGGGACTTTGTCTCAAAGCTGGGTGCAGTAGCCGTCGTCGATCACAAGCAAGAGCATGGCGCTCTTGTTAAGGCCCTGGTGGCTGAAGGACCTTATGATCTTATTGTTGACTCCATCTCATTTCCAAACACAGTTGCGGTCACTGCAGAAGTTGTTGCTGCACAAGGCGGAGGAAAGCTTTACACCCTCCAACCTGCTTTTGGTCCAGAGACCCTGCCAGAGGGCGTAACCCGCGTATTTGAATCGTGGTCAAGCACTATGGATAATGATCTGCGATCCTGGGCGTTTACTACGTATCTTCCACAAGGTCTTTCTGGTGGGAAAATCATCCCTCTCCCTATTGAGAAGATCGAAGGTGGTCTAGATGGTGTTAGCGATGCCCTTGACAGGTTGCAGAAGGGTGTGAGCGGTGTGAAGCTGATTGTTGATCCCTGGGAATAAATCCAACGGAGTGTAATGAATACAGAAGTTTAAAGATTCGAATCTGCTTTGTGCCTTCGCAGCCTGAGGATCCGGATCAAGCGGAGACATCCAGCTGCACCTAAGTGCCTCCATGTGAAGCTCCGTTTACCTGAGCCATATCGAGCTATATCAGACTTGGTGTCTGCAGAGTGAAATAATCAGCCTATCCAGCATCTCGATTTCCATCCTCGGAAGGCTTCAAACCCTGCCGTTCCTTCCAGGCTGTAGGACACCACAGTGGAGTGTCGGATCACCTACAAAGGGCGGATGCAGCTTGGTGACAGCATTAATAGGAAATGGCGTTCTATCAGGGGTTACGAACGATTCTTGAGGGAAAATTGACAATGATCATGTTAACGTGGTCGAGGTTATGGAGGTCGTGGAGTTCAACAGGTGCACCGGCACGGGCCGGCAGACCCACCTCCAGACTGCTGACGCCAATTAGCATCCACATCACCTCAACCCAACTTTCTTTGTTGTAACGCGATCTCTAATGGTTTCGTCCAAAGCTGAAATAGAAACATACCACGTAATTCTAGATGCTTGCCATAGTGTACAGCGGACCAGTCCCGGATCGGTGCGCACACCTGAGGCAATTGTCCCTTGTGCCAAGCGCATTGAAACGGTCAACTCCCGCCGAGTCCCGCTTCTGAAACAGCTCCACGAAGATCAACGGGGGAGATCGCTCTCATAGTCGGTGTCAAAGTCACACCAAGCGCTCTTTTAAGCTTCTAAAAGCGACTGCCAAGCATGATGGAAGCATTTCGCCCAGGCGGTTCAGACGCCAAGCCTCAGTTGCTGAAACTGGTCTCCTGGAGTTTTTGAGAATATATTATCTGAGGGAGAGCTGCCGTGGGAAATGAAAATCTCTCCATGGAAGCCGATTACCTCCTTAAAATGCCATTCATGAATAAAGGTGTCTCGACGCTGGGACATACGTTCAGGTAAGTGGTATCCATCTGCCGCATCCAGGACTGTTCGCTAATACGAATCAGGAACTTCGACCAGGCGATTCTCACGATCAAGGTGGGCAAGGGAGAGCATCCCGAGTCTTTCAGCTGTCATCGAGAGCTACTACGTCGGTGCTCGGGCTACTTCGATCGCTACTTTCAAGCGCAGGGCACGTCGCCTTACAAAAATGGAGATTCTAGCCTGGAGCTTGAAGACACACACCCGGATGTCTTTGATGCATTCATGATATGGCTGTATACCGGCGAGATACCGCACCATCTCATTGAAGGGAGGAAGGAGGAGCCGGTTGTTGTTAATGGTAACCACGTGAATGGTAACCATGTGAATGGTAACCATGACACGGATGGCGCATCGACCCCTGATCAAAAGGGCGATGATGATGTCGATACGGTTTCCTGGGGCATCACGCTCGACAACGACGATACGGTCGTTTCAGACCAGCAGAACGGCGATGCATCCGCATCCGAAAGTGGCGCCGAAAAGGTGCCCGGCGAGGGCGAAAGCGAAAAAAGCGTCCCGTTGCCTCCAACCCGATCCACTGTCGAGAAACCAGAGGCCCCGAAAGAAACTCTATGCCCATGCTGCTCCCGGTCTTACAAATGGCGAAGCCTAGAAGGCTTTCTCCAACGGCGCTTCATCTCGCTCTACATCTTCGCTAATCGCTACGAGATCCCTAGCCTCCGCCGCGCTGTCACAATCGCGTGGCAAACGAACGAAGAGATTCTGCAGTCGATGCCTGATCACAGCAATGTTATCGCAGCGTATGAAAGTTTACCACCGAATTCTGCGCTCTGTAGATACTTCCTAGATATGTATAGTGTGTACTGGAACCCGGAAAAGGACGACGAGCAAATGATCGCACTGCGCCCACAGCTGCCACAAGCGTTCTTGTTTGAGCTGGCTACGACACTAGCTAGAGGCGAGCGACCAAAGATAGAAAAGGAATGGTGCGAGTTCCATGAGCATGAGGACGAAGCAGAGAAGAAAGTCTGCCACGATGAGTTAATGAAGGATCCAGTTTGTGCTAAAGCATTGAAGAAGATCCGGGATAGTAAGAGTTGGAAAGGGCTTGTCCTAAAGAAAGGAAAGCGATAAATACACCAGATACCAAATTGATTTCATTTGTGCATTGCCGTATCATGTAGTTGTGTGGTTGATACATCTCGCACAATCTGGAAGTAGAGGGAAACAACTCTCTGCCTGTATAATCTAGGATGTGTTTTAATCTTAGCCCGCCCTTCCGAAGACACGAAACCTTGCAGCAGATCAAAGTATCCCAATTGATAACGGGTCCGGTAACCCAGGTCGAATCAGTCAGTTTCCGAGGGACGTTAGATCGAGCTCGTATTCAACCTATTGGATGGAGCTGCGCCTCGTTGAGGTGTATGCCGATATATCGGGCTTCACTCCCACGAAAAGCGAGGCTTGAAATGTTCGACTGTTGCTTACGACGGCAATGGCGCGATCTAGAGTACCAAAAATACTAGCTATCATTCAGGTCGTATTGCGAGTAGCCGCGCTCGCAACGAGTATCACGCTGCTTTCATACGTAGCAAAATTGAGCATACAGTGGGGTAAAACGTTCAATGGCGCCTTTTCTGTGGTATGTACATTTGCGGTAAAGATGGAAAGAAACATTACTGAGTCCATGCAGGCTCCTTTTGCAATTGTACTCGACGTCGCTGAAATCGCCGGCCTCTTGGATGCAAGTCGACGGATACCACGGACTGAGCCAATATGCCTCTGCTTCGGAAACGTTATCCTTCTTGGGATAGGCATCTACGGAGGTATTGAGTTCCTATTTGACGATTTCGACCGTGCAGACGACCCGGATGGTATGAAACTCCATTCTTACGAGAAACCAAAGTTCACTGCGCTTTGGCTCTTCGTTTGTGTGCTGTAAGTCTCGAGACAGGGTTGAAGGTTACACTTTCTGATCAGGCAGGTGCTGGCGATTCGTTCTTTTGATCTGGGAGTGCGTCGATTGCTGCAGACGTGGAAGCGCTGCGCCAAGTAGTCGTCTGACGCCTGTTGCTGGTGCATCGGCGAACTTTTACAACCAGCGAGATCACCAAAGGAACATCTGTCAAGGGCGTACACCGTCGATAGGAGGCGGAACTGGGAATGTCCCGCTTGTGCCAGTAACTAAGCTGAGTTCTAAAGCACAGAAGACGGCTGACGGACATATCCCGGACCTGAGCGAACAGGCCCCTGGGCTATCTGAAAGAGACATGCAGATGCCATCCTGAAGGAGTCGTAATGGCCCAGGAACACAGGGAGACTAATACGTAATCTATAATGGCAAGAGTGACCCGAGGAAGCTAGCAGTGCACGGGGAGATGTACGAGCTATGGTTGGGGCGGACTGGACTAGCTAGATCAGAGCAAACTGATGAACAGAAGGTACGTCGAGGCAAGATATGTTATCGATAAGAAATGATCACGTGATAACGCGTTTGCCGAAGTCAGCCATGGTGCAGACGGCTTCATCGCCTCAATTCGACACCCATAGAATAACCCGGCATATCTAGCGTTCCTACTTCCTCATAATGTCCTTCCGTCTAAGCTCCCATCCAGCCTCATTTAAAGCTGTTTCTTATATATGAGATAGTATTCTCCTCATTTCAAATACGGCGAAGGATTCCTTGGCAGTAATTTACAACACTTCTCGGAGCCTGCTTCACTGTGATGTTTCCTTATCGCGAGAGGCCCTGAGGTGTTACCCACCTTCTTTCCCCCATCCTGTATTGCTATGTTGCGCCTTCTATTCCTCGCGTTTCGTGTCCTCACTGTGCTCGCTGAGGACAGCATCATCATCCCGGCGACCATTACGGCCGGCGTCGAGTTTCCCGTGTCCATCATCTTCGACTTTAGCCAGCCTGGCCCAGCGTACAGACCTTGGAAGAATTGGCGCCTGTATCTTGGAGATGACAAAGAGTACGGGCACTTGTACCCAATTTGCAAGTTTGATGCTTTTCCTCTCCCCTCCCTGGGCTTGGGTGATGGTGCAGCGGAAGACAGATGTATTGATGTGGAGCCTCTAGGGCAGTCATGGTATCTAGGGAGGTACAGGCGCTACTAGGTAGTGGCTTGGCCTGGTTATAATCGAGAAATGCTAATGAAATTGTGCGCACTAGGTTTTCTTAGCGACCACATACCCCTTAATGTAACGTCGGCAAACGTAATCATACCAAAAGATGCAGGGCCAGACGGGAATACATATCAAGTCCAAATGCACACAACCAACGACACGTTCCTACCAGCCGGTCTTGGCTGGTCGGAACACTTTGAGCTAGATGGCAGCGATGTCAAGGCATGGTCACCGCAAGAGCAAATGGGTCCCGAATCAATTTGGGATGCGATACCGTGTTCTGCTATGCAATGCAATCGAAAATGCAAGGAGCGGTGGTTTGCGACGTCAACTGGGCTAGGCTGGACGAACCAGGACTATTGCGAGTGCGTGGCCGGATGTTCTGGCGTTGTAACCGAAAATCCATACTATGGGGGCGGTGATGGATGTGGTTGGGAGTGGAGATGGATGAAATCCACCTCCATTCCATTTTCTGATACGGCAACGGAGGAAACGACGACCACAGACACCGCGCAATCCCGCGGCCGCTCTAGTATTCGCACAAGTAGCGAAATCCCTTCGCGACCCACCACTGCAATAACCCCAGGACCCGCTTCCGTCGTAATGACGACTGCTATCCCCCCTAGTTCAATGTCTGAGGGTACCCGACTTGGGGCTGCATCTGCTATACCGCCCGTTGCCCTCGCTATACTGCTTTTTCTGACATAGATACCACAACAACAACTTGTTACCTAACGTGGAGCATAAGAAGTGGATAATTTAGGGCAGCGGTTGGCCTCCCGTGGGCGTTCTCCCTAGTTCCAGCAAGAGATCTAATAGGTAGACCACACCCTCGTAATGTTGGACGTGATGTGATATTATGCAGTACTCTCTAGGATAATTTCAGCAGCGTACGTACTTGGACATGCGGGTGGGGGTGGGTAAGGTCGTGGTGAATTATCATGTACACTTCCAGCCCATCGCCTATCCGGCTACAATATTAGTAACGAATAACTAAAGAGTCAATCTGCAACATATAGGCTTAGTAGCGAATCGAGTGTCCACCACCCTCTCTCTCTCGCCCTTAGGGAGATCCCGCAGAGCTCTAGCCTTGGCCTTGTCGCCCCAGGTGTACAAGATCTTGATTCCAATTGAGAGCGCGATATTAGCTGAGCACAATCCCACCAACGCCCTGTTGCTGGTGTAGTCTGGGATGGCCCGGGGCTAAAGTTCCTACTGAGCATAGTTTACTCCCAGTACAGCTTGTCCCTTCGCGATAGTCGTTGGCAGCAATGATACTCCCAACTTGGTAGTATGTGGTGTAAACAGCTGCGCTTACCGATCTTGCACCAACCGGCTTTGAGTCCTTCGATGCCGTGCCGATCGGGATGGAATGCGCGCACAAGATCCCGTTCATGTCCGCGAACATGATATACCGGACCCACGGACTAGCGTTCTCCAGGATAGAAACCAAGACGGTTAAGAGCGGTAAGATCCTAGCTTGGCTGAGAGGTGCGACGAGTGAATGTTCGTTAAGTTTCTCAGAAAGCCAACCCAAAAACACGGTGTTGAATGCGAAAATAATATAGCCCAGGATTGCGAGCGTGCTAGCTCCAAAAGCAGTAACTGAGACTGCCCAAGATGAGAGAGCGATATGTGGAGATTGGCTGGAAAGAATGTAGGCGGCGATTCCCAACGCCATGCATCGATTAATCGCCCAAATCCGTGCCAGGAAAAACTTGGAAATCTCCTTGCTGGATATACCAGCCGGAGGTCAGCCTTTGTAAGATCTTTAATATAACTTTAAGGCTGATGACCTGACAGTTATCATACCACCTTCATTTAGGTGCTCGAACAATAAAATTAAAGAGACTTTATTTCCTGAGTCTACCACTTGTTCCTGTCGTCTGGACGCTTGAATGCAAGGGCACCTTCGGTGACTAATACCGGCATGACAAGCCAAGAGATGCAGCCGACAACTGCACCTAAAATGGGATAACAGTCTAGAATATAGATAGGCGAACTCGGAGATCATTCATCTTGAAAAAAAAGGACATGTGTGGGGCCGTTTCAGGGGTATAGCCGCTTTGGGCGAAGCCGATCGCTGAAACCAGGGCGCAGAAGCTAGTCCTACCTGATATCGCGGCCAGGAAAGTACACAGAGCCCCCCAGAGGTTGGTCGTTGCAGGTATGTGCATGAATCAGCTGGCCTTCTTGCTGACAAGACCTCTAGAAGAGCCCCACAGCAAGGAAGCAAATGAGGAATATGGCTTTGCCAGTGCTATAGTCACTGGGGAAGAGCTAGAATTGGCCACTGTTCATGCGAGTAGAGAGTCTACTTGGCGTTGACTTCGATGTCATCGGGCTGATATCTCGTCAGTCGATTCCTAATTTCTCGAGGTCGGCGATACCTCACCACGTTATCAGAAATCGCGAGATCGACGTTCCATTTCACCAGGTCAAATCTCAAGAGCACGGCCAATACGCAAAGCATAATACGCTAGCCCAACTATGAATCCGGCTTTCACTCATCGGACTCCATTATCGAAAGAGTTGTTTCAAATCAAAGCACTAGGAAGGCGTGTTGATTTCATCACTGGGGGTTACCTGCTATGGAGAGGTTCGCCCTGGAGCGGCGAGTTCAGCATCGGGTTGAATCTGTCTCTACCTTTATATTAGGCGAGCAGCGCACAAGGTCCGAGAATGCGTGAGACGAGACGGGGTCGTACTAGCGGGAAGATAGTTGGATGTCATAAACGTCGAGGATGCGGACGGAGGGTGAGGTGGAGGCGGAAATCCGCGCTTCGACGCGCTTCTTTTCGGTCCGAGTGGATACGGTCAATGATTCGATATATAATCTAGTCAATTTCACGAAGGGTAGGTAAACGATTCAAAAAAAAAAAAGTGCTTTGATATTCATGCGCTCCTGTGATCCTGATGCATACCCGTCCCATGGCTCACCATCTCCCACTATTGCAGATGAAGGAATGGTCGACCATAACGGTGGGTACTAGAATTCGCGATAGCTATCGTTCTGTCACATAACTAGAGTCAAGTTTTTGAAAACTAAATGAACGTAATCCGGTATGTATTCCACTAAGGTCTCTTGCTAGCTTACCTGTTCGGCGATCGTAATCAGCCTTTTATGGAAGGGTGTTTGGTACTGTGGGTTCTCGCTGCTTGAGATAGCTAAGAGACGTCGCCTTTCTCGCGATGAGGAAAGGTGGGTCTTAGTTCCGAGGAAATATTGGTCTTTATTTGCCATATTATTGGACAGGTTTTGTGTATATGCGGGTGACCTTGATAAGTCCTTGGAATTACTAACGAGAATCCCCGACTTCCTATCACTTAGCTTGGAATCTATCAGGCGCGTTTTAGGACAGAGGTTTGCATCTTGCCGACGTACTCTGATTCTAGAAATGCCTAAACGCATCTAACCTACAGTCTGAATGTTCCCCGGTGAATGCGAATATGTCCTAGAGAATGAACAATACACAAAAAAACCCCACCCAGAAATCACCACACCTTGCGTCCAATTTCCCCTAGGCCAAAGTAATAACAGGTCCACCGAATTAGCGGGTACTACGTAAACCTACGTTGTAGGCAAACAAGCTAGCAAGAATTCCAATCGCAGCAATTGCGACGGATGCAGCAAAGGAATACCGGATGCCATCAGAATGCACCAATCGAGCCTTTGACGAGACTCCGGATATCTTGTTCTCGGTATTGAGAATTATCGCGGGTTCAGGTATGATTGGACTAGTGTTCCTAACGAAGATCCGGCTATTGTGGCGCTTGAGAATGAGGAGGGGACTGCGATTTATGTGTCTTGGAATGGGGATACTGAGACCAAGATTTGGCGGCTGTATGCTATCACTGGCGGGTTTGGGGCCAGAGGCTATCTGGGCTAGGCTGAACGCACAAGCTTTGAGACAAGACTAGAGTTACCGAATAAGTCGGTGATGCATGTTGTCGCTGAGGCGGTTGATGCGAAGGGGAAGGCGTTGAGGTCGACAGGTGTTGCGAAGCCGGAGGCGGAGAGTTTCCTTGCGAAGGCTGGCGCTAAGAGTAAGCAATTTAAGGCATAGGGCGAGTGACTACATTAGATGGAGCTTTGAATGAGCCTTGCTCAAAATCTATATCCCAATCGTAGTTGGACGTTGAAAGGTGGGTTTGTGGCATTTGCCGGCATGAGATCAAAACTAAGTGGGGAGCAGGCCAAAACGGGATAGGAACGACAGACAAATTGCGATTAGTTTGCACGTTCTCTATTCTCTGTGGGCGTAGCGGAGCCGCCATTTTTCCAATACCATTTATTTATATTGCATATATTATTACATAACACGGAGCAGAATCATGATAGGTTTGTTGATACCTGTCGACTGCCTGTGCTTTATGCATATGCCAGCCTCTCTTTTGACCACCCTGGCCTCAGATGTTCTGAATCAAATCGAGCATCCCAGCTGCTACCAACCACATACTGGGTCTCCCAATTCACAGTGATTTGTGCCCCCTCTTCGGATTGCGCCCACACACTCAAACCAATTGTATTATCACCAGCATAGTTCAGGACTCCCGGTGGAACAGGGAACCTGGTTTCTTTCCCAACCCATGGATTGAATCGCGCATATTGGTACCCGTTGACGAAGAGCTGAGCACGCACTTTCTTCGAACCCAAGGCGCCTAGCACGAACGCAATGGAAACATCCAGGCCCTTCGGGATATCCAAGGGAAGTACTGTACGATAAAATTGAATGCCTGGGCCCTTGAACCCTTCCGAAGGAGAGCTGGAATTCCATTCGGAGTCGCTAAACCCCGGAAGGTGCCAGCCAAGTCTTTCCGCGGTGAGTCCACCTTCGGCTAGTGGGCCTCGCACCGGATCGAGCTGGACATCATCTCCCCCGGCAGTACCAGCGATCTTCCACTTGCTAAACGACGCCCCACCTCGAAGGCTTGCACCTAGAATCCCACGCGGTTGCGTCGCTGCCGCGCGGAGGTCATGGCCCATGTTGTCTTGTGCAACAAGGATGACATTAGTGCCATTGGCATGCACCGTGGCGTTCCCGAAGGAAAGTGTTAGATTTCCAGATCCGATGGAGGAGCTCCCGAGGTAGGAGCCCAGGAAATCTCCATTTAGCCAAGCGCTCCAACCGAAGGCCATTCCGCCCTGAACCGCGAGGTTGACTCCTGTTGCGGGACCATTGAAGTAGCCGCGAAATAAGTGGAAGCTATTATGAAAGCCATAATCGTCAACATAGAGCACCGGCAATGTATCCGGCTTCGTAGGATTAGGTGTAGTGAGATGATTTGCTTCTACCCAGGCAATTCCATCATCGTCATAGTTTAAAGACCTTTCGGGGAGCGTGTCATGTACCTTCCAAGGGCCGAGTTTGGGTAGATGGATTGTTTGGCTGACACTAGGAATTTGCGCTTTTAGGGTTCCATATGCCGTTCGAGTTGTACGCAGCTTCATGCCGTTCCATGATAATGAGTTAATGCTTTGAGATGCGAAGACCTCGATAGCCGTGGTATTCGCGACATCACCTTTGATTGCCAGAACCTTGCCTTCGAGGCTTACACCGCGGACGAGATACGGCCCTTGCACAAGGACTATAACTTGTTAACAGTTCCTAACTGACTAGGGGTTCTGACTCGTACCTGATTTATACACTGAAGCAAAGGGGTCATTGGATAAGTTTGGCGCCCAAAACTGATATCCCGTGGTCTTGTCCGCCACAACCACCGTCAAGCCATTGTCGAAGCTCACCATTGTCATGCCTGCGATTTGGGACAGGCTAGCAATGATGCCGTGATCATCTTGGTAAAATGTGGCGTTCGAATTGGTCTTCGTTACAACAGAACCTCGTTTGGCACCTTTGGCGTGAAATTCGACTGACTCCCCATTCCCAGCCCAGAGCACGACAATTGGCTGGCCATCAACAATTACGTAGGTAAGAACTTCAGCAGTGGAGTATGTGAGTATCTGTCGACCCAGAGCGAAGTCGGTTACCAAAATTTTCGACTGGTGACCGTTCAAGACAATTGACCCACCTCGTTGGGGGATGGTTAGATTTCCAATTGAAGTGCTAACATAGAGCTTGAAAGACTCTCGAGTAGACGATGGCGAGTATGAGTGAATGGTGACGTAGAATGCAGAGCTAGTAGTAGGGTTGCGCAGCTCGCTGGCCATAACAGCAACATTGTTTGTGTAGCTGGTGCTATTACCGAGTCGAATCGTTTCCGTCAGATCCTTCGCAACACGGGTGAACATGGCTAGATTCTTCGTTTCGTAGAATTTAGATCCAATGAATCGATCCTCGCTAATAGGAGCAGAGTAATCGTAGCTCGTTGCGGTTACGGGGGCCGCCAGGGCACCCCAATTAGTGCCTCCATACATCATGTACAAGCTCACAGCCGTTACGCGTTGAGATATGAGATTCCGATAGAACCTGGAATCTTTGAGCCCTCCATCTCGAATCAGAAGGGCTTTCAGACTTACAGATTAGAGAATTCAGCCCCGATATCGCCTGGACATCCACCCTCGGGCCCACCCCAGGGGTTATACGAACCGCCCTGGAACTCCGGGAAGAAGTTCGGTTGAGTCGAAGAGGCTTCAAAGAAGTGATCGTAGTAGTTCATGACCTGATACGCGACATATTCACCGTTTGTTCCAGTACATTCATCCAGATTACAACTCCAGCACTACTCACAAGAATTAGCACATTCACTCTCCGCAACGAAAGATTTTAAATCCCACTCACAGAAGGGTAGCTGTCCAGGCCAGCAACATCAACATCTCCAGTGGCATTAGGGGCGAAATCCTTTGACCAACTACGTGAGTACATATTTGGGTCGTTGTGAATCAGTGGAATGTCCACTCCATTCGCACGAGCAGTAGACTCAAGCGCGGCCATATATCTTTCAGCTGGTTGGTTTGAAATTTTCTTCGTAGGATCTCCTTTCCACTGCTCACCATACTCATTCTCAATTTGGTACACGAGGACATTTCCCCCATTGGTCACAAGATGTTGGCTGGTAATGGCGGAATAGTTGGAAAAGTAAGGGTCCCATGCAGCTGCATATCTCGGATCGTCATTGCGGAGCTCTCCATACGCGCCGGTTGTCAACCACAGCGGAAACCCCCCGGCGTTTGATTCCGCATTAACATAGGGACCAGGCCTGACAATGATATACAGGCCGATCCTTTTCGCAATTTCGAATAGTGGGGTGAAATCGTGGGCACCATTGGTGAAATCCAATGTGTGATTGTTCCAGCTGTGATAACCCCAGTGCCCGTAGAACGCGAATGCTGTAAAACCGGCCGCCTTAATCTTCTCGAGGAGATCTTCCCAGACCTCAGGGACTGGGATGCGCCAATAGTGTAGTTCACCAGAGAAAACGAAAAGTCGTTGACCATTGATCTTGAAGCTATAGTGATCCCATTGGACGACTTCGTTCAAGCTGTTGTCATGAAGGGGCCATTTGGTTGGGGAGGTATACTGGGCGTCAACTTGAACACTCCACTGAGGGGATATTGATGAAAGAAAGGGCAATAGAGAGCCCAGTAAGATGCCCGCCTTCATATTGGACGATGGGTGGAATGAATGATGCAGGGAGATTCGCTTCTTTCAAAAGTACTTGTACCTGCGCAAAGAGCCCTAGAACGTAACAAATTGATATGGGCGAATTGCATGCATATCAATAGTAGATCACTAGAAATGTTGATTAAAATCGCTTCTGCGGGGTACAAAAAGGCACATGAGGCCCACAATGGTGGAATTGCGACTAGGTAATGGCCGACCATCAGCCGGGAAAATTCAACGGGCAGATTGACTCGGTGGAGTGTTGCGCCGAACACCCGGATGGTAGCGCGAACACCAACTGTTTATTGGTTCTCCGCGAAGCCAGGACTGGGAGAACATGATAGTTTGCGATGGACGATAGGTGTTTGGATAACATTCGGGATGGAGATGGAGGGAGGGATCGATGGGGATTGTCCTGCAAGTCGTGAGACGTACTAAATTTCATCAGCTGACGCACAGTCTCGCCGAGCGCACGCACACACGAGATTTTGCTAATTTTTAACATTATAACGTACCCCACAGGCGAGGTGCTCACACACCCAAGTTGCTTACTTTTGCTAAGACCACATCACAACGCACTCTATTATAGCGTATAACAACCTGTTCTAGCACTATATAGTATAGTACAGCCTAGAGCATTATTTAGAGACTACTTCTACTTCTTACTTAACGTACTTTACAGGCAAGTTGCTTACACACTTAAGTTACTTACTTTTACTAAAACCCTACTAAACTACTTTTTTTATACTAATGCATTTCTAACAACACTACTTAGATGTGCTAAAAGAATATTAAATATAGCTTATACTTTAAGCTTTTAAATAAAATATAAAACTTTTAAAAAAATATGCTATAGCTATATATAAAGTCTCTTAAAAAATAATAAATAACTATAGCACTAAATAACTTTTATAAGCTAATTTTATAGCTAACTTATAAAAGCTAAGTAATAATAAAAAGTAAGTAATTATTAAAACTATACTTAAGCTATATACATAAAAATTTTTCTTTTAAATAGTATTTATAGCTAATATAGCTAATTTTTTACATGCTAAGTATAATTTAGGCTATATTAGCATAAACTAGCTTAGTATGTTTAGAAAGTATTATTTAAAGCTTAAAGTAATATATAAGTGTAGTATAACTATAAAAAAATATTAAAGCTAAGTATAGCATCTAAGATAATAATATATATAACTTTAGTAAAATAAGCTTTATTATAAGCTAGTTTATGCTAACATAGCCTAAATTATACTTAGTGTGTAAAAAATTAGCTATATTAGCTATAACTACTATTTAAAGAAATTTTTTTTATATATATAGCTTAAGTATAGTCTTAATAATTACTTACTTTTTATTATTACTTAGCCTTTATAAGTTAGCTATAGAATTAGCTTATAAAAGTTATTTAGTGCTATAGTTATTTATTATTTTTTAAAAAACTTTATATATAGCTATAGCATATTTTTTAAAAAGTTATATATTTTATTTAAAAGCTTAGAGTATAAGCTATATCTAATATTTTTTTTAGCATATTTAAGTAGTGTTGTTAGAAATGCATTAGTGTAAAAAGAGTAGTTTAGTAGAGTTTTAGTAAAAGTAAGTAACTTAGGTGTGTAAGCAACTTGCCTGTAAAGTACGTTACACATTTATATATTATACCTAGTCTAATTGCACTGTCTGCAGCGCTTTTAAAATAGCTTACCTACCTAAGCTTACACTTACTTCTTTGCTTTTTTTTATTACTGTGTGCTTTAAACTTTTGTAAACTTATAAAGTGTAAGCTTTTTTAAAACTATTAAAGCTTGTTTTACTTTAACTTACTTTTTTTATATAATTTATATTATAACTATAGTAGCTTTACTACTTAGACCTTAGTAATTTTTTATTATAATAATACTAGCTAATATATAATTATTACAAATTTTTTAATACCTTTTTTAATACTTTAACTATAAAAGTTAGTAAGCAATTTATATACTTTAAAATTTTTATTTTTAATATTAATTATAACATACACTATAGACAAGTTGCTTATACACCTAAGTTGCTTACTTTTACTAAGACTCTACTAAACTACTTATTTTACACTAATATATTGTTACAGTCTACAGTTAGACTAGCGTAACCCCACCAGCAGTGCTCCACAATCTAACTAGGTTGGGACAGGGCTCGCTTACAGACTAACTAGAGGGCATGGAAGCAGCGCACCTACTAGCAGTCACAGAGGAATGCGTTGTCTAGTAGAGAAACAAGCTGCGTATTAAAGGGAGCTTAAAAGAGCTTAAGGAGCTTTTCTTAGTAAGCTTCTATAAACTCCTCTAACTCCCCTTAGCACTCTAGCATATGTATATAGTTTCTATATTAAACAACCTTTAAAAAGTGTGTTTAATGTTTAGTTTATTTTTTACATAAACTAAGTAGCATTTAGCTTTATAAAGAGCTATAATACTATTTATATATCTTATACTATATATACTTTTAACTTTGTTTAAAAGAACTGTTTAACCTAGCTTTTTTACTGCTACATTAAAGGTAAACTATAATCTAGTCTCCCTATCCTCCTTTATTAGCCTAATAGCCTGTACGTAGGACTGTACACCCTACTAGATTAGCCCCTAC